GAAGGGCCCCAGGGACAGACTGGGGGGCGGAGACACTCTGCGTTGAAGGGGGCCCTGCCGGCGGCAAGCAGCAGCACAGGAGGAGACAGAGTGCAGGAGCTCACTGAGGGGGGGATAGCTGCAAGGGCGGGGAGGTCTTCTGCTACTAGCCTCGTCAGCAGCAACGCAGCAGCAGCTAGCTCTACACAGCGCGGGTTGGGGCCCTCATCGGGGGCAGCAGCAGACTGCTATGGAGCCTGCTTACCATCCCCCTCAAACAGCAGCAGCAGCAGCAGCAGCAGCAGCAGCAGCAGCAGCAGCAGCAGCAGCAATGTAAGGGAGTTTCGGTCTCTGCTGCGGCCTGCTGATGGGCGTTTGCCTCTGTCTGGCGCTGACCCGCGGACTCTGCTGCAGCAGCTGCTGGTGTGGGGCCTGGAGCTGAGTGGTGGGGTGTCTGCGTCTCCCCGCTCAGAGGGTCACTCATCTCCCTCGCTGCGCACCCCTCTTGCTGCTCTTTCTCCTTCTCTGCTCAGCACCCTGGCTCTGTCTGAAGGCTTCGAGGATGTACAGGCAGTCTTCGTTGCTATCATCAGAAGGCTGCTGCTGCTGGAGGAACAGGTTGCTGCAGAACGCATGCAACAGCCACCGCAGCCCCAGCCTGCAGCACCGCCACAGCAGGGGCCCCCCCGAGCTACCCCTGTGGGGCCCCGCAGGTCGGAAGTCTTCAGGCACCGGAGTGGGCGGGAGGAGCCGGCTCCAGTGCCTTCTGCTGCTGCTGCTGCTGCTGCTGCTGCTGCACCTCTTGCAGCTGCCAGCCAGAGCAGCGGCCTGCAGCGCCTTGCTGCTGCTGCTGAGGCAGCAGAAAGCCCAGAAGATCTCTGTACTTTGCTGCTGCCTCTGGAGTCTATCGCATGCAGCATCGAAGGCGGCACCCGGCGGGGCTGGGTAGACAGCATGCAGCGACGGCTCTGGCGGCAGCGTGTGGCTCGGGACCTAGGGTACCAGGTGTCAGTGGGGGGCCCCGGGGGCCTGGTGTGGACCCCTGACGTGCATCTGCTGGAGGAGGCTTCAGGTGGGTGTGGGGTAAGCCAAGAGATGCGGCAGCAGCTGCAGGACGGGGCCCCATCTGGCTCTGGCGGTGGGTGGGGCCTGCTGGTGGTGCGGTCCCTAGTGAACCGCGAGGCGTTCGTGCTGCAGACAGTGTCGAGCCGGTGGCCCCTGAAGCTCGACATCTGGCTGCGGCAGCTGGTGGACCTCATCGATGGGCCTGAGGAGGGGCGCACTGTGCCTCAGCCGGATAAACATCTCCGCGTTGCAGCACTCATATGGCAAGCAGACAGAGACAGAGACGCTCTCCTCCTCACCCTAAACAGTAGTAATACGAATGCTGCTTCTCCTCTTGGCGGCAAAACAAATGCTCTAGAAGAGCTCGAGAGAGCAGCAGCACTCAAAGAAGAAGTCCTTGCACTTGTGGGTCCCCCTCTTGCTCCTGTGTGCTTGTGGGTGGCCTCTCTGTATGTGTGCAGATGTATACGTGTGTGTGCATGCATATATGTATTGCATGCATGCATGCATGTGTGTGGTTGCTGAAGTTTGGGGCTTTTTTGCTGCTTTGTGTTTGCATGCAGATCAAAGGGGCCCTGCAGGAGGTACCGACGGATACCCCTCTCGAGGTGCTGCTGCAGCAGGTTATAGGTTTGCGGCTGCGGCTGCTGGAGCATCTGTGTGCATGCAGCAGCAGAGCAGTGCCATCTGTGGCCCCAG